CTGCTCCACACTCATCATCATCATCATCTATCACCTGGAGCTGGTACGATAGGCCAAATAGTGGATGAATTACCAAGTGGACCCAGTCTCACCCACCACAGGATATAAAAAAGAATTACATAATTTTAAGTAGACAAAAATAAACGTGTAAATCATATTTTACCTAGCCCATGCATATCAACCTTGACCTTTTATCTCCATTTATTTTAATCGGTGGCTTTCTTTGCGTTTTCTGAACTTCTTCAACACCTACATTAATGACTGAGAACCGGACGGTTGTTGGCACAATATCTGTCACTCAGAATAATGCAATTAATGACCTCCTGAAGTTCGGTAGACGTTTCTTGGAACCCTGCAAAAGAATATAATAGGGTCTGACCTTGACGTCGTTCCACTCAACATCCTGAGTGGTGTATGTGTTTACCCGGAGCTGGGTGCCCGCCAGACTCACTCCGGTCATCTCGTCCTGCAGGGACGACAACTCGAAGGCACCAGGGATTACATGATGCAGCAGCAACTGCAGAGAAAGATGTCAAACATTTATTTGCAGAACAATAAGAATGAAAACTGAGGGGAATTGTCATGGTCGTACCGGTGCGACATTGTGCTCAAGAATGCGAAAAAGAGATACGTCAATTTTCCAGCAAAGACAGGCACTTGATTCAATAAGAACTATACTTCTCATCCGATACGGGTAATACTGTCGTAACACATGAGTCTTTATTCCGGAAGTATCGGGTTCTAATCCTGTCTGAGTACCGGCTACACTCACTGAGGTTCAACATTGTTTTCCGCAGTTCCTCCTGCTAATGCCGGGATAGTGCTCTGTAGTCAGCAAAGCCCGCGTTCTTCCACGCCTCTTCCCATCATAATCACTATTATGTATATCATCTGGCACCATTAACCTCAACATTTGGTACAGTTCTGTGAAACAATCGAATAACTAACTATTCCTTTCAAATGACTTGCAGTCTTCAAAAGGTAAGCGCATTTTCTTTCCCCCCTCCGACAGGTTCACAAAATTAACTCCTTGGAGCTACGGCATTCTTGAGAAGCTACCAGTTGCTTGGTTAGTCAAGATATTTCCCCCAATTTATGGGTCCCAAAGTTTGATTACCGTGTTCACAAGGTCTCGTCACTGGATCCTGTCCTGAACCAGATGGATCCAGTCCTATTCATTTAGGATATAGCCCATCTACATCTATGTCTCCCAATTTGTTTCTTCAAGTTTTCGATCTAAAATTTTGTATGTATTCCTCATGAAAGGTCGCTTTACCGAAAAACAATTTTAAAGATTGCATACAAATTAAATGTGTAGATGATTATAAGAGCTGTTATAGACATGTGCGTTTAACTGTGCCAAATTATATTTGAGAATTTCTGTAATACAATCCTTCACTTTTAGGTCATCAGATTTCATACCAGGAAAACGAGTACAGCAATTCATAATTATACATGAGCATTTGACTGGGTTACCTGCGTGACCCTGCGCAGTACTTTCACTGCGTCCTGCTTTAAGTAACAAGTCTGCGATGACCAAATTCATACCTCAGAGAAGATGACCACGCATCTATGCCCAAGAAAAAAAAACAAATGGAATTGAGGTACAGAAATTCTCATCGTGAGGAAGTTAAATGAGTCCTCGAATTCTCCATAGAAGTGCAAACTGAGTATGGAGGTATGACAATTTAATTGCTTTCATTTGCCCTTTGAATGAATGTGTAAACGTCACAGAGGTCAGTTAACGAAGCTTGTAGAACGTACATTACAATACATAATATGTTAAACAGGTGGGAAATGTAATCTGCCAAGGCTGTAGCTCAATTTTAAAATCTTATATATTTATATTATAAATTGATGTGAAATTGTTAATTCTGTTTCTCTTTTATAACCTTCCTTCTTAGTCACCGCCTTCCTACAGCGGCAGCCTGGGTTCTGTGCCCAGGTCAGGTCATGTGGGATTTGAGATGGACGAGTGGTTCTGGGGCAGGTTTTCTTCGAGTACTCCGGTCCCCCCCCCCCAATTTTCATTCCACTGATTGCTCCATATCATCCATCATCCGATGCTGATACAATAGGCCCGTTAGTGGCTTGCGTACCAAATGAATTCAATCTAACCTCACCTCACCCCACGCCACAATACAACACAATACACTTCCTTCCACTCAATAAAATGACTACATTCTTTTGTACTGTCCGACAGACAGTTCATGAATTTCAGTCTCACAATGTGTTGGCAAGCTCAGGAGTACTGGACTGCTACGTCACGTGTGAGACAGTACAAGCACTTGACTGAAGGGCTTTCGGAAGATCTGCAAGTCTACTGACCTCGGCAGGGAAAGAGTGTAGACTGATAACAAGACTGGTTAGTGGTCGCTGTACACTGAGACGACTCAAGTATTATGGGCCCCTCGAGTAAGGTTGTGTGCAGCACGCACTTTTCCGATGTTCAGGTTTGGACGGACGTAGAACGGGAAGGTTTGGTTCTGCATGGTTGGAGGCGACGGGTCTTAACAAGGACTTGTTCTAGCACTGAGGACAGCGCTCTCGTGAAAAACGAGTTTGTAAATGAGATCAGTGTTTTTCTGTCACTCAGAAGCTCACGTACCTAATTTCGGCGAACAGACAAGCAAATTTATCTGCCTGCCCAAAGCCCATTACATTGAATGAAACGGCTAAAATTGACACTGTTACTTCTTGTAGAAGGAATTCAGAGTCTTCATTGCGATACTCAAAGAAATGACACGAGCACCAGTTCTTATGCCCTCCTCAAGACATGTTCTAAAATGTGGTAACATCAAGGCTTTAATTGCAGCGTTATTTAGGACTTTATCGTCTATAAAATCATTGAAATGTTATCAAAATTATTTGTAGATTTGAGGTTCTATTACTGTCATCTGAGATGTGACGCCGTGTAGTCTGGCATATATTTAACAAATATTCTACCCTGAAGATGGAAGCAGCACGTTTTTATTGCTAGTGGGGTGGGACTAAGTCCCTTGTACTGTGGCCACTTCTGGCCTATTGTACCAGCCCCAGATGATAGGTGAGGGTGATCGTGGAGCAATTGGTGGAATGAAGATTGGCAGGGGAAACCGAAGTACTCGGAGAAAACCTACCCCAGCGCCACTTTGTCCACCACAAATCCCACTTGACCAGACCCGGAATCGAACCCGGGCCGCCGCGGTGGGAAGCCAGCGACTAACCGCTTGAGCTATGGCGCGGCCAAGCACGTTACGCTTAAACATAGGCAAATATCTAGCAGATCACGCGACAAAACACAACATAAAGCAATAATTTAAAATTATTTGAACTGTTTCCGAGGAGATCGTTTATTCTGGTACATTCGTGCCGTAGCAACATTCTGTGAGACCCAGAAATCACTTACCGAAATTCAGGCTCCACTTATCAACAAAGGACGTCAAGAGTCTATATTATTAGGCATGAAAACTGTTAGATATTATCAAAATTCGTTTTGTATGATATGAAACGTGCCCATTGTTCTTAATTAAATCTTGCGTGGAATCTAGTTTTTAATATAACGGCAATGATCTTTTTGCGCGAATAAAAAAGCATCACTGAAAACCTAGAACCTATTTCCGTAATTTCATTGATTACCGGTTAAACGAAAGATAAGTTGCACTTAGGTTAAGGAGAAAAAATGTTACGCTCTAGTAAACGACTTTACTTTTTCAGATATGAACAAAGAATTGCGCGGTAAGAGTGGACATTCATTCATTGAAATTCAGAGTGAAGAGAAAAAGACGGAGAATTCGGCATGAAAGCAAACAGGCCCAGTCTCACTGGTTTAAACAGGAGAGAAGTTAGAAATAAAAGAATTCCCTGCAAAGGTATACTAACTAAAAGTATTTAGTAATTGTACATAAGCCGGTCACGGTAGCCGAGCGGTCTAAGGCATGTATTGTCTTCGCTCGCTTGGAAACCGGGATCGTGGGTCCGAATCCCACTCAGGGATGAATGTTTAGTTTGAGTGTGTGCGTTTTTCTGTGTTTGTGTACAGGTAGAGGCCTTGCGACGAGCTGATCACCCGCCCAAGGAGCCCTACCGAATGTGTAAGATCTAGAAAAACCGAAGTGAACGGAGAAGTTCATGGAGGTAGGCCTAGGCCCACTGGGGCTGTAGTGCCAAGGAAAAAAAAATTGTACATAAGCCCACTATCTATCTATCGCTACCTACACAGGTCAACACAAATATAGAATAAAGGCAGAGGGTCATGCTTTGAGAGGGATTCGAACCCACGATCCCAGTGTTCGAGCGGACGAAGACATTTCAGGCCTTAGACGGCGCGGTCACAGTGATCAGCTATCGCTGTACTATGAATATTTATTTTAGAAGATCTTTCGTGATACATACATATCCGTATAGTCTTTGGGACCCTGCATATTATCAGCATCTTCCTGATGTTTCAGTTTGTTATAGTAATTAATGCTAATGTCAGCCGTGCCTAAGCTCAGGTAGTCAGCAGCTGGCTTCTCGGGTTCAATCCCTGGACAATATATGTGGGATTTATATAGGGTGAAGTGGCACTCCGGCAGGTCTTTCACCGAGGACCTCGATTTCCCCTGCCAAAGGCATTCTTCATGCCAGCAGTGCTCCCTATTCATGTAACGTCAAGGAGTGGCACGAGAGGTCAATCTGAGGTCACTGTTGCAAAAGAGAAAATAGTAATAACACTGCTCTTGCTAAACCAAAGTTGAAGTTGTCCCCGAACTTAATTGTATGGAGACGTGTCGGGAGTGGAGGCACTAACTGGAGATTAGTGGTCAGCTTCAGGCCTCGGCCGCTCTACCCCAGATATACGTGACATTTCGTCTGGATGTTGTGGAGGAGAATTTCCTGCCCCCAGTCCACGGACATCCAGCCCGTAGCCTAGTTATTATGGAAGGAGAAGAGTCCTAACTCTCCGATACAATTGTCATCACCACCGTCAGTATCATCAGCAGTGTTAATGATAGTGGTAGTAACAGACGTAGTCGTGGGGTCGTAGTAGTAGTAGTAGTAGTAGTAGTAACAGTAAAAAAATGTGGAATTGTCTCTGTGCTTAAGCACTACGCCATGAAGGCGAATGGGGAAGTGGAGGTATAGGGCGACGTTTTCTTGATCTCGGCAGTAGCTGCAGGTGAGTGGTCAGTTTGGCGCTCCGGCCGCTTTACCTCAGGAACCCATTAGTTAGGAGGCTGGGTGGGCCCCAGAGACGGTTTGTACGATATGTAGAAGTGAAAATTCTTCCTCCAACCAGGATTCGAACTCCGACCCCTTGGTCCCCCAGCCCGTAGCCAGTCCCTATACCCACTGCGCTATCCCGTCTCTTTATTATTAATAACAGTGCCTACAGTAATATTGGCGATGGTAGTAGCAGTAGTAGTGGTAGTAGTTGTGGTGGTGATAGCAGTAGTAGGAGCATAACCATCACAATCGTTATGCCAGTTTCAGGAGCCTACCACTACAACCATGGGGGGAATTTAAAATATCATTGAGTGGGACATCGTTGCTGTTGGATCCGAGGACAACCCTGTTCATTGACAACGAACTACAACTTACCCCGCTCAAGAGTCGAGGGTTCTCCTTAAATTTCTCTTCCGCTTTCTCGGGGCCCCCGAGTTGCACAAGCAACGCACGGAACGCCTTGTCTGTCGGGGCAAACACGGTGTATGGACCTGCAAAATCGAAAATAATAAAGTTTTTTTTTCTCTTGTATGAATTTGAAAAATAACGTTGTCAAAGCAGATATACAATAGCTTATATTTTCATGTTCATATCCCTCAAGAACCCGAATCCTTGAAATGTCTTGTATTATTTTGACAAAATTTAGTTGTTTCATATTTTCAGTTGGTAAAACATTCAACAAAGATTTGTTGTACGCTCCAGTTCCTCAAAAATTATTTTGTAAAACAATTTGTATTCTATTTTTTAACTTGTAATATTTTGCATGTATAGTAAAAGTCCATTCTAAAAGTTAAAGCTATTCCTGTAACAGACCGTGAAGACCCATCGGGTCATGAGACTCGAGAATCCCACAGTTTCTAGACAATTGGCTCACAGATGGCGGTGAGGTTGTCGGCCTTACACGCCGGCCGCCCTTTACCCCCAGGAAGATTCGTGGTACTTATTTCTGTTAGAAGCTGAGTCGACCCCAGAGACATAGTGCTGCTGCAAGGATTAGGTCAATTGAAAAATCCAATGATCTCATCAGGAATCGAACCCGCGACCTTCCGGCTTGTAGCATAGTGCCTCAAGCAACTACGCTACCGCATGCTTAAAAAATCCATTCTATCAACAAGATATGCAGGTACAGCTAATCTGGTATTTATTATTTTTTGTTTGAAAAAAATACTCTCGTATTTTAATAGAATCACTGCTTACAAAGGAACACTGAAAGAGAAATTTTGACAATCACTGGCTTTACTTTCAAAATGTAATATTGTTTTAGCTCTCAGATGTTAGTAGTTATGTTTCGCTTAAAGTTCTATCGTTAATACAAGCCAGAACTCCTGATTATGAAACTGCTCACCAGTGTCGTTAAGCATGTTGTTTAGTCCAGACTCCCGGAGGAACCTGGCCATGGCATAGAGACCCTCTTTCTTGAGAACGTCAGCCAGCGACAGCGGAACTTCTCCCACCGTTGTCTGGTACTCAACTGACCCATCTTCTTCTAGTGGTACAAGTCTTTCAGATTCCTTCAGAATATTCTGGGAAGATGGCGCTGCTACCCTTGTTCGTGTTTTCAAAGACGGGGCGTCAATATTCTGATGGAAGTCACGCTGCTTTTGTTTAGAAACAACTTGCTGTACTGACGTGTTTGTTGTTAGAAGTGGCACTTGTGTGGTTGGATTGGCGTAAATTATTCCAGGAGTCGATGTCTCCTGACCCTGAAATGTTTGTTTCGGGATATTTCCTGATGCAAAGAATGACGCGTAAGACTGGGATGGATTCACAAATGATGGATCTGTGGGCAGGAATGGTTCCTTCGACAGTAACTTTTTCTTGGGAGCCAACGTTGTATATTGCGGAACTATTGATGGGGAATATTCATTTTGTGGGAAGTAAGCCGTAGCTGCAACCGTCGGTGAAAATTGGGTAATTGTAGGATAAGTGGTTACAGGGCTATTTTTCTTTTTATATTGAGGCGTATTATCATCGACGTTTGATGAATAAATGCTTGGTTGTTGGTTTATCTTCGTATAAGGATTTATGGAACCTGGACCTTGTTGTGGGTGTGGGGAAGCAACAGTCTGCGGATATACCGGGGCTGCTGCATTCTGTCCTGTCGGATGAGCGTCCACGGAGTAAGGACTGTTCAATTGCGTAGTCGAGAAATCGGTTTGAATGGTTTGCTTGTTTGCTTTACTATTCACCGTTGAATCAACGTCATAAAGAGGTGGTAATGTCACTGACTGAAGGAAATCCATTCCTCGGTGATGCTGGATATTGAAGTTCGATGAAACAGTTTTTATAATACTGTTAGGTTTTGCCGTAGTTGGACGTGATTGGATATTAAAATTTGAGGAAACCGTTTTAATAATACTGTTGGGTTTAGAAGTAGTAGGAATTGGATTCACGGTGGACTGAGTAATGAAATTTTCAGAAACCTTTGGTGATGATATACTTGATGGTAACTGAGGCACTGTGCTTTGCTGTGCGACTGGAATGTTGGATGGTGCTGGTAGCTTCAGATCACCTTCCTGAAGTTTCTTTATGATTGACTCTATGTCACTAGCAGGCGTTTGATCTCCTTCAGGCTGTCCCATATGGCTACCTCGAACGCCTTTCACTTTATATGACCCATCCTCTTGTTCCTCTAGAAACACAAATGTAACCTTCTTCTGGGGTAGATTCTGTGGCAACTGCTTTCCAACATCTTCAAGTGCTCCATCCTGTTTATGTCGGATTACTTCGAAGTCAGCACCTGGCGGTAATACCCCCTTTGTGAGCTCCTCAAATAAAGCCCTTGGAGGTCTCTGCGTTGTAGTTGATACTGAAGCCGTTGGAGGAGATTCGTTACCAGGCACAGTATCCGTTAGCGGACGGCCTTGTCTGGGACTCTGCACTACTTGTATCTTCTGTCCGTTCGCGAGAAACAATTGAGCGGATGTGTTTCCTCCTGAAACGGCTATGGGGCCTGGAGCGATCTGGTCTTCATTTGTAGGGGTAGCTGCTTTTGAAACCGCCAGTTTCAACTGACGCAAAAGGTCTTGCCTTTGTAGTAACTGGAGCTGAAATTGCTTCTGGAGTTGATCCTGGAGTTGTTTCTGATGCAGCTGCTTTTCCAGTTCACTCAGTTTAGACTGATGAGCACTACGCTGGTCAGGTCTGGGCTGTGTAACTTGATTTGCAGGCCTCTTGTTGTTTATTGTTCCTTGCAGAGGTTCTTGAATTTGCTGTTTCTGGTCACTTGCCTGTTGTTTCCTTTCCTGCTGCTGTTGGGCTTCTTTCAGTTGATAATAAAGTTTCTGTCTTTCGTTTTGCAAGAACAGTTGCTCCGATGCAACACTTGGGTCTGACTCCTCGACGATTCTGGCTCTTTGTCGAGGCCGCTGCTCATTCTGGCTTGGCTGCAGTACAATTTCTTGGAGTGTTTGTTTTGTTGCTGGTGTTGGCTGAGCGTAAATTACTGAGGATAGTGACGGTTCCTGCTGTTGCTTCTCTTCCTTATCTTTCTGTTCTTCAATTGTCCTCAGTTGCTCCTCCTCTTCTTCCTTCTTTTGCCTTTCTTTTTCTTGAATTAATCTTAGTTTCACCTCCTGTTGTAGTTTTAGCAGCCTTTCCTTCCTTTCTTGCATTAATCTGAGTTGTTCCTCTTCTTGTTGTTTTCTCCGTTTCTCTTTTTCTTCTTGGATTTTTCTGAGCTGCTCTTGTAGTTTTAATCTCCTCTCTTCGTCCCTCTTATCTTCCTCTTGCCTTTCTTTAAGTCGCCTCTCACTTTGCTCCTGAATCAGTTTCAATTGTTCTTCTTGAAATTTCTTCAGTCTCTCTTTCCGTTCTTGTTCCCGCTGCAGTTCCAGACGCTGCACTTTCTGTAATTCTTCAGGATCTGAGATGGAACGTTGAATGGTGAAGTCGGTGTTTGTATCTTCGTTTAGTATTTTTGTATCTGTATCTTGATCCTCTGTTTTTTGTTGTTGGGTGGTCACTTCTTCTTTCCGTTCATTTTCAGATTCTTGAGTCGTAAGTGTTGATTGCTGCGTCGAAATTGGAGATTTCGGTTGTTGAGAGAAAGTGTCTGGTGACTGTTGACTTGTAAGTGGCGACTGTTGGGTGGAATGCGGAGTCTGTGGGACCAGTGAGAACAACTCTGTTGGCCGGTGTATTGACAGGGGGGAATTCTGTAGTGACAACAAAACCGGAGATGGCTGAGTTGAAAGAGGTGAGTTCTGGGTTGCAAATGGAACCTGTGGCTGTTGGGAGAACAGTGATGAAAACTGTGGTGACGAAAGCGGAGATTGTTGCAGAGACAACAAAATGGGAGATTCTTGAGTTGCGACTGGAGACTGTGGTTGGGGGAAGAGAGACGAAGATGGTTCACGGGTCAGCTGCGGTACAGTAGAATAAGCTGATTGCTGGGTTGGATTTAAAGTTGGTTGCTGTGGAATTAGATGCCGCTCTTGTTGGTGAGAGTACTGTTGCTGCTGAAGAATCGAGAACGGATGTTGGTGGGAATTGGTCGGGGCCCGTGGATCCACTAGTGCCTGCTGAAACCTGTGGTTCTGTTGGATGTCTGTTAAGATTTCTTTCTGTTCATGATGAGACAACTGGCGACGGAAATTCGGCACCGCATGACGAAAGTGTGGAAATGAGTACTGAAAGAAAATAATTTCAGTATTAATAATTTAATACTTCTTAATCTTAGAGCAACTTATTTATGGAGCTGATCCCTTCTTGAGGAGAAGCCAAATCTGCAGATACTCAAGAATTTCCCAGCATTTTATGGAACACGAAGGTTCATTACCGTGTTCACAAGAGCCCTCCACTGGTCCCTATCCTGAGCCAGGTCAATCTAATCCATACCATCCCATCCTATCTCTCTAAGATCCATTTTAATATTGTCCACCCACCTACGCCTTGGTCTTCCAAGTGGTCTCTTTACTTCTGGCTTTCCCACCAATATCCTATATGCATTCCTTCTCTCCCCGATTCGTGCTACATGCCTTGTCCACCTTATCCTCCTTGACTTGATCATTGTAATTATACTTAGAGAAGAGCACAAGAATCTTAGAGCAAGGGAGAAAGAAATTCAAAATGAGAATACTTTTATAAGACTATTATTATTTTCAATTTGTAAACCAAGCTAAATTTTTAATTTATATATTCGTACCTAATCGCAATATTCCGTTCCTAGATGCTCCAAATGCAAATTAAATATATTTGTAGTTTAAAACCAGTCAAATAATTTGAAGTATAAGCTCTCGGGGAGTCAGAAAAAATGACCTCCTAGTTATGCGCATTCAATTCATGCATGAAGACAGTGTAATATATAGTTTTTGACTTCCTACAGGTTTCTAAACGGCGTTCTTTCAAATCTGAAAGCAAGGACACACACATCAGTTGATTGCATTTTATCTCACGATACTCAGACTATGATCCCACTTCATATAGCTTCTCAATCTTGTTGGAACATTTGCGTAGTGTAAGCAAAATGTGTGTATAGATTTGTTTATAATTATGTCGTCTTAGAAATACTGTGAACCGAATCAGACATGCTACACACTTAGGGAAGTGAAGAGCTCCATAATCACTGATCTCCGACGATGGAGGCAGAGACAGTATCCGAAACGCTGAAAATTTATTCTTATTTAACACTATGTCATGAAGACATAAAGGGGAGTGGAGGTATAACTCCACCATTCTGCACTTCGGCGCTAGATAGACGTGTGTGGTCAGCTTCACGTCCCTGACACTTTTTCCTCCAAGAAAAGAGACTCATTGGTTGGGTCCCGGACCCGGTCTGGACGCTGTGGAGAAGAAAAGAACCTTGTACTGTTGGGAATCGAACCCGTAGCCCGTCGTTATACTGACTGAGCTATCTCGACTTCACTGACAAGCAGCATTTGCTTATTACTGCTGTGTTGATGTCAGATCCCAACTAAACTAAACATAAGTAACTCACGTCTCTATCCAAGAGATGAGCAATGGCTGACGTGCCATGCCACCAGCGTTGGAACGATCTGTGAGCCACAAGTTCACTGATGTCAAATTGTAGATGTTCCATTCGTACGGTCTACCTGTAGGAGATCAAGGGTAGTCCCACACGATTTCTGAGAAGTGATATTTTCCTCAATATTGTCACGATTTTAGTGACTACAGACGGGCAGACACATATTAGTGTCCACAGTCACGTTTACACTTTCGTTGCCTGATAGTGGCTTTCAACGGCTGACGCTCCCTTTAGTCTGGGTTCCCGAACTGTCCCCAGCCTCAGTTACGAGCTTCTAGCAGTAACAGCTCACAAGGACTGAGCCTCAGTAGTCCTCTAACAAAATCACTGACTAATTCCTCACTAACTGAGTAACTTCCCTATTTATTATATCTCGGCACGGATCGCATAGAAAAAGCAGTTCCTCTGTTGCAGTGCAATTGTTGCCGCGGAAACATGCTTGTTCCGAGCCGTTACTTAACAACGGCTGTTATATAGTTGCTCATTTCACGGTCGTTACCTAGAAATTGGTCTAAATGCGACAATATTCTTTTAAACATAAGGCTAATTAAATTATTTATTTTGTAACTGTTCACTGAAAACATATTCAGCAGTTCTAATACAACAGAAGTCTAAGACAATATCTGTTGCAATCTGAATATACTCTCCCAGGCCGATTTGAGAATTTTGTAGGGCCAGATCAGGCTCACGAGCCCACTCCACACTCTCATCAGCGCTCTATTCCTTACTAACTTTATTATCAACACACTGCTCTATGTAATGATACGTATTTCAGCGTTCCTTCTTACCAAGGATCAGGTCATGACGACATATGCGGGGGTGTGGTTGTAGATGTAACTCCAGGTATTCTTAATCCCGTGACCAGCTAGAAGGGAGAAATCAATTTCACGCCCTAGCCGCTTTATCCCCGACGAAAGAGTCCCTAGTGCCTTTTGGTTAGGAGGCGGTGTGTTCCACAGAGCCGGTTTAATCGCTCTTCAGAAAAGAAGAAATTATTTTACCTGCCAGAAATAGAACCCCGATTCCTCGGCTGCCCAGCCACTAGCCCGGAGTTATACTGACTGATCTATCCTGGCTTCACCTAAGATTTATAAGAAGGAATAAAAAAAACGAACATCGAGACGAATTAAGAACGATAATTCTCAAAGGATATGTTTCAGAAACCTGTGTACTCTTACTTGTTAATTACTACCTCTCTAATTATAATTGCTCCGCCATTCTAAGCGCTTACTTCTTCACGTTACGACACAAAGAATCTCGCTGCTGACAAGCGAACATTCACTGTATCATTATTACACGGGTCAATTCTATAAATCGTCGAATTGCCTTTCTCTTGCCTCTAAGACACTTGCCCTTCTTAGGACAGTATGTCCAAGTATAGAGCGTCGTAATATTCTTATGTAAGGACATGGAAGGGTACAAAACATCAGCAATGCTTATGGAGAAGGGGAAAAAAGATGGTAGTATTGCAAGAATTTATCAAATGAGGCGCTGCTAAATTCATAGAGTAAAAAGAAGCTCACGCAATAAAAGGAAAAGTTCTGCAGTTTATTTCGATAGCATAAAACTAAACCGCAAGCGGTCAGTCTGGTTTATTGCAATCTGATGAGTGGTGAAAGTGACATTGTGATATATTTCTCACCGCACGATGTACAACCAGCAGTCAGCTGCTGCTAACAGAAAACCGGTTAACCATAGTATACATTTGTTAAACTCAATGTTTACTGTAACACTGAACAGGCCGGTCTACACTTAATGCTCTAGATATGTATTTCGGAGGTTCTAGGGTCGAATCTCGGTAGGGTCATCAACTACCCTGACAGGATTTTGTGATCTCATCAGTCCCTACAGGAAATTTTTGGGCATCTTTCCTCAATTACATCACGACGACTTGTATCAAAATCTTTTGCAATTCATCACGCTCGTTGGTCCTGATACTGAATTCACGGAAACCTACGTTAACCAGCTCCAAGTTTTGAAAACGTTAAACTACATAATCTGGCTGTAGCACATTACGAAATGTATGCAGATTCCTTCTCAGATATACGTTGTGGCACTTGAGATATGATATGCTACATAAACATAAACTGCAACCATAAAATCACTTAAAAATAATTAAATTTATTCCATCGAAACTATACGTGCAATGTGATGATATGATTAGTAACCCGTATGAAACTTCGGAAGAATAATTTTCATCGGAGTCAGGACACTGTGCGTGCCATAGCCCAGACCTATAAAAGTTTACTGGCTTCTCACAACGATCCTTCGGAACTCCTCTGTTCTGCCCTCACAATTATAATTTCACGGATGTTCTACATCCATCCATCTCACCTGACGTGTTCGTCAGTTGCCACAACCTGGCACAGTGTGCTTACTTAATCCTTAGCTTATTTAATGACACTATTTCAACTGAGCAGGTTATGTCACCAAATAGAAAAGTAGGGTTTGAGGTTCTGACAGCGGTGCTTAGGAAGAGTTCTCTGTCTTCTAGGATGGATGCAACGTCGTGTAGTCCGTTGAAGGCCATCTGCTTTCACGCTAAATTCTTCCTTTGACCCTGAAGATGGAGATGAAATGTTCCTCTGAAACTTCGGTTGACTTTCAACGGATTACCGGAGTTACATCCCAGAAGATAGAATTCTTCAAATATTAAAATATTTTGTGAATAAGAGACCGGAAACAAAAATATGACAGGAAGTAGTCGTAGTCTAATTTAATATACTTTTCTGCAGGCTGTGGAAAAGGAAAATTCGCCAGTCTCCGTACAAAGATTCGTTTATCCAGTTTCCTGAACCTGAAGCAGACTCATTAACCAATCGGAGGCCACGGTCAGTCTAGACATATCTTCACTTCCTAAATCCTAATTTGACACGTTATTTCTGACTCGACAATTAAATGGACCGAAAATAATAACACACAGCTTTCAATTTATATTTAAACAATAATTTGTAATTATAATTATTTGCAATTACTCTAAACCGTTCAAATGAAATATGCGTATAAATATGTACACTAAAATTTATAACACGATTCGGAAGATTCTGATGACGTAATTCACAGTGCTCTTACATCGTGTAGTCTGGTTGGTAAATGCCAACGTTTCCGAGGTACATTCTGCTTCTATACTCTTGAAGACTGGGGAAATATGCTTCTCCAGAACATTGGTACTCGTCCACCAGAGCACGTGATGCGACAAGACAAAAGACCACAACATGAATCTTCACGCTCTGAAAATCTCAAATCTCATGCCTGACACTAGGCTACATTAAAAACCCTTGGTTTGCGATAAGGTTCAGAGGAGAAGGAATGTGTAAATATCGCTGTTTACTAAACAGCCGCCATGTCTGCGTAGTTTTCCAGTGATCGCATTAGAAGTTCTCCTTTCGCGGGGAACACATCAGACTTGAAGCTGACCACATTTCCTTTTTTCTGCACCCTATGCTTTGAGTAGGAACAGGTGGAAATATCTGCTAAGTTATGTAACTTATTGTTTTCAACTTCTGGTTTCGAAATATTCCCACAGAACATGTAGATCAATTCCTCGGCGCAGTTACAGTGGCAGAATAAAAAGAGGACTGCTTCCTGAAAGCCATACCCTGGCGCAAGTGAACCAGAAGAAAAAAAAAACTCCGTGACCTGTAG